CGCAGCCGGGCCCGGGGCCTTGGCATGTCCGGCGCGCCTGATGCTTTCCAGATGTGAGCCTGGCTCTCCTCCCCCACCTGGCCCCAAGGATCCCGCGGGTAAGGGGTGGGGGGCTGGGTCCAGGGTCCGTCACCGCCCTCTGTCACATCGCTTCCAAGAACCTGGGCTGCGTCCCCTCCCCTCCCGTCTCGGCTCCCAGTGCGGGTCGTAAAGACCGAGGCGGGATAGGCTGACTGCGGTACAGACTGTCCCCTCCCGGCCCACCTCTCCAGCGCCGCCGCCTCCGCCCCGCCCCGCCCTCGGCGGTCCTGGGTGGCCTAGCCGGGACCAAGCCCCAAACCCGCCCTCCGACCACGCCCCATGGGCGCCGCCCGCCGCGACACGCCCCCAACAGCCGTCTGCACGCCCCTTCGCGGCCGCAGGCCCCGCCCCGCGGCCTGGTCCCGGGTGGAAAGCGCCCTCTGCGCCGCCTCTGCGCGCTCGGGTCTTGTCCTTGAGTGTCTGCGTCCCTCGGACACCCGACTTTCCACATGTCCGCCTGTGTCTCTCCTGGACCTTCCATGTCTCTGCCCCAGCACGCCTCTGCCTTAGTCCCTGGATTTTCTCTCCCACCAAATTTTTTTTTTATGCACGCAGAACTGGGGTACAGGCCAGAGGCGCAGGGGCGGTGAGAGGATTCACCAGAGACAGAGTGGGGATCAGAACAGGCAGACTGACGAAGTCCACTGCTGAGGGGCGCAGCGGGCGGGTCAGGAGAGGTCTGCTGGGCCATGTGGGTCAGCTCCCTGGCTGGGGATTGAACTGGCGCTGCAGTGGCTGCAGATAGCTACTTAGTGCTGAGACTTAACCCCTGCACCACCAGGGAGGGCCCTGCTAGATGCGTTTTCTCCTGAGTAAACATCCCTGATCCCTGGGGTAGGAACTAAGGGGGGAGGGTGTTGACACAATAAATAAATTCTATAACTGTTAAAAGGTAATAAGGACTTCAGGGAGGAACTGAGAAGAGACTTAAGGGAATCAGGTGAGACAAAGAAGCAGAGGAGGTTGTCATTTTCAGTGGAGAGATGCACGTTGGTGACATTCGAACAGCAACCTGGAGTTGGTGAGGCTTGTGGATATCTTGGGGAAGAACACCCAGGCCAAGGGATTGGTCTGGGCAGAAAACTGATGGCAAAATGGAAAAATAAGAGTGGTAGGGGTGCGGAGTGGGAGTGGGGATGGAGGGGAGAGGTGAGGATGGACAATGGTAGGGAGCTCCCATATCGTGTAGGTCCTCAGGGGTCATGGTAAGGATTTTATTTTTTTTACCAAATGTCTTTACCAAGAGAGGAGGGAGCCATGGAAATTTTCTCAGCAGAAGGGCTTGGGTTTCTTTGTGGTTTTTTTTGGGGGGTGGGGTGGGGTGGGGTAGAGGGCATTGAAGATGGAGTTTGTTGCTCTGTTGAGAGAGAATTCACATACCATGAAATACACCCAGATAGACTGTCAAGACTTCAGTGCATTCACAGATCTGGGCAATTATCACTGCAATTTCAGAACATATCCACCACTCCCCAAAAGAAATGGCACACTTCCGCTGCCTTCCTGCGTTCACCCCAGCTCCCAGCAACCAAGAAGCAATTTATGTCTCTATAGATTTGCCTGTTCAAGCGAGACGTGTCAGTCTGTGGTCATTTGTGATTGGCTTCTCTCACGTAGGCGTGTTTTCACTCTTCATGTATGCTTGTAGCTGTGTCAAAACTTCACTTTTGTCATATATTTTTTAAAGATTTATTTATTTATGCATACAGAACTGGGGTGCAGGCCAGAAGTGCGGTGGGTGAGAGGATTCACCAGAGACAGAGTGGAGAGCAGAACGAGCAGATTGACTGAAATACACTAATGAGGGGAGCAGCCGGGAGATAGGAGAGGTCTTCTGTGCCCTGTGGGTCAGCTCCCTGGCTGGGGATGGACCTCATGCTCCAGTCTCCAGTGGCTGCTGATAGCTTCATAGTGCTGAGACTTAACGCTTGCGCCACCGTGGGGCCAAAACATTTCTTTTTATGGTCTTTTTACTCCATTGTCTGTGGAGACCGCACTTGGTTTCTCCATCAGTTGATGAATGTGGGAATATTTTCATATTGCGAATAATACTGTGAATAACGTGCTAAGAACATTCGAACATCGGTCTACACATTTCCGCATGGACATGGGTTTTCCTTTTGCTTAGGTAGATACCTGGCTCTTGGACATGCTGGGGCAGAGGGTAACTCTTAACTTTGTGAGGAAGTGCCAGTGTTTCCTAGAATGGTTGCATCACCCAACATTCCCACCATGGTAGGAGGGTTCCAGTTCCTCCACATCCTCACAAGCATGTGCTTTTGTCTGGGGACTGCCTTTCAGACAGGGTCCGACTGGCTGCTGTGTGGGCCCAGGCTGAGGGAGATGTGTGGAGAGGCTGTCAGCAGTGCGCCCAGAACAGGCAACAGAGCTTGGGAGAAGAGGCTGGAGTGTGGAGAGACTTTGAGGTGGCATTAGTGGGAGTCCTTCGATCAGTTATGGGCTGAGAGTCAAGAATGACCCCAAAGATTTGCCAGCAACCCAGGTGGGTATGACAGAATGGACCTGGCAGGTGGAATCAGAAGCTCGGTTTGGGGGGGCACTGAGTTGAGGTACCCCGAAACATCTAGGTGGGAAGAGTCAGCAGGGATTGGGTATTCCCGTTAGGAGGATATGGGCTGCCCATTTGTTGAACAGGAAAAGGTTGGACTAGCCCTGAAGGCAGAGTCTCAGTTTCCCCCTCCAAGAAACCGGACGATAATCACTGACTAGGCTGCCATGAGGCCGAGACGATTTCTGCAGTACAGGGCAGGATCTCACACCTGGAAACGAAGGGCTTGGTATGGCGAGAAGGAGACTTAGGTCTGCAGCTCAGGAGAGGAACGGAGGTCACGCTCAGTTCAGACGGCCCGTCCTCCAGTCCCCCCTCCACCTCTCAACCTCTGGCCGCAGTCGGAGAAGGGGAGGGGAGATTGGGTCACCCTCGCCCCCCCCCCCCAACTTGAAGCAGGCTTTGCTCCCGCTGATGGAGGCCGGTTGCGGGAGACACCAAAGCTCGGCGCACGCCCAGGCCCCTCCCCGGCGCCGGCGGACCCCACTAAGGCGGGGCACGGGGGCGCCGTGCCTCCCCTCCCCCCTTCCGCAGCCGGGCCCGGGGCCTTGGCATGTCCGGCGCGCCTGATGCTTTCCAGATGTGAGCCTGGCTCTCCTCCCCCACCTGGCCCCAAGGATCCCGCGGGTAAGGGGTGGGGGGCTGGGTCCAGGGTCCGTCACCGCCCTCTGTCACATCGCTTCCAAGAACCTGGGCTGCGTCCCCTCCCCTCCCGTCTCGGCTCCCAGTGCGGGTCGTAAAGACCGAGGCGGGATAGGCTGACTGCGGTACAGACTGTCCCCTCCCGGCCCACCTCTCCAGCGCCGCCGCCTCCGCCCCGCCCCGCCCTCGGCGGTCCTGGGTGGCCTAGCCGGGACCAAGCCCCAAACCCGCCCTCCGACCACGCCCCATGGGCGCCGCCCGCCGCGACACGCCCCCAACAGCCGTCTGCACGCCCCTTCGCGGCCGCAGGCCCCGCCCCGCGGCCTGGTCCCGGGTGGAAAGCGCCCTCTGCGCCGCCTCTGCGCGCTCGGGTCTTGTCCTTGAGTGTCTGCGTCCCTCGGACACCCGACTTTCCACATGTCCGCCTGTGTCTCTCCTGGACCTTCCATGTCTCTGCCCCAGCACGCCTCTGCCTTAGTCCCTGGATTTTCTCTCCCACCAAATTTTTTTTTTATGCACGCAGAACTGGGGTACAGGCCAGAGGCGCAGGGGCGGTGAGAGGATTCACCAGAGACAGAGTGGGGATCAGAACAGGCAGACTGACGAAGTCCACTGCTGAGGGGCGCAGCGGGCGGGTCAGGAGAGGTCTGCCGCGCCATAGGGCTCAGCTCCGGAGCCGGGGATCGAACTCGCACTGCTGGCAGTGCTGCGCTTTCACCCGTTGCGCCACCAGGGAGGCGCCTCCCACCACATTTCTGCCTCTGTGTGCCTATCTCTCCCTGCATCTCTCTACCCCTCTCTGAGTATCTTTGTGATCCAGCCCGTTTGCAGTTCTCTTCCGAGGGCCTGTAGTGTCCACCGGTCACTCCGGCTCCCCAGGAGGTCCGCGGGGGCGCCCTGCTCTCCCTTTTGCCTCCTCGTCCGACGGCTCCGCGGGCCGCGGGCGCCCCCGTGTGGCCGGCGGGGGCTATGGGCGAGACCAGAGCGCGCCTCAAGGCCTGCCTGTGTCCTTGGGTGACAGGGGGCCAGCGGCATGGCCAGTAACATGAAGATACTGTGAGTGCGTGCGTACAGCCGAGAGATGGCATGTGGCCAAAACCACACTGTGTGCCACAACCAGGCACTGGGTGTGCTGAAAGTTGTGGGCGGCTGTGCCTGTGGAGTCAGAGCGGGGGTGGTGGCTCTGTGACACTGAGGCTGTCGGTGCCGAGCTCCCACTGGGGGGACTGCCTGTGACGCGACGCCAAGACACCATGTGTGAGAACAAGATTAGTGAGACCGCGTGTAACACGGCGAGGACTCGAGCACTGTTTATGTCACATGGGCGGCTGCCGTGAGAGAGGGGGAGACCGGTGATTCACCACGAGTTGGCGTGAGAAGGCAGCTCGGCCGCGAAGCCCAGGGGATGGGGCGTGGCAAGCACGTGAGTGTCCACCACACTGACGAACCATGAGAAGCTGCGTGTGGCTGGATCTGTGGGAGACGGGCTGTGACACTGTCCGTGTGTGTGACTGCTGGGGGTGAGAAGGCTGCGTGCGTGAGGCGCTGGAGAGGTGTGCGGGAGTGTGCGTGTTTGTGACACCACGTGCGGTTCTGGGGGCGCTGATTCATGATGTGTGACTGTGTGAGACCCAGGGGTGGCGTGTGGGGGCGGGGGCAGACCCAGTTCCAGCGAAGTTGTGAAAGAATGTGTGTCTGTGAGTCACGGGGTATGTGGCTTGTGTTCCTGTGTCCTGCTCTGAAACACTGTGTGACAGTGCTGGACAAAGGGGCCACCGGGGGTGTCCCCGTGTGGGACGCTGGCAAGTGTTGTGTCACTGATAAGGTGTGAGATGGGGAGAAGTTGACCTCGTGCTTGAATGTGTGTGACATCTTGAGGGATGGACACAGCGAAAACGGTGTTTGTCCCCTAGACACCCTGCGAGGGTCTCTCTGGCTGTGCGAGAGGCCACGCTGTGAGGACAAGGGACTGTGCGTGGCATTTCCAGAGGCCACGTGACTGGCGCTGCGGGAGTGTGGAGAGCCGGGTGTTCTCGAGGCGTGTGGCGACACTGTGTGACACAGCGGGACAGTGTGTGTTTCAGTGTGAGGGACCGAGCGTGGGCCTGCGTGCTGAGCGGGCTCATCTGTGCTGGGGGCAGTAACAAGGTGGGAGAGTGTGTGATGGAGTGAGGGGGACACAGACGAGTGTGGGTGACAGTGGATTAAAGACTGCAGGGGTGGGGGTGGCACACCCACCCGCCCGTGTGAGGGAGATGGAGACAGATCTGGGAGACAGCTAGCGGGAAGGAGACAGAACCAGAGCAGCAGAGACACGGGGGTCCAGGCCCAGGAGGACGGACGACTGTGGAGGGACCCAGGGCGGCCCCAGCAGGTGGGGGAGGTGGGGAGGGTGGTGGCAGCTGCTGGAGGAGGAGGCAGTCCGCAGGGGCTGAGCCCCAGGGGAGGGGGCGGAGCTTGGGGGGACCCAGATGCTGCCACCCAGCCTCTGCCAGCCTCCCACCAGCCCAGCCCAGACAGCAACAGGTAGGAAGCTTCGGTCCAGGTAGGAAGCTTCGTTCAGGCCTTTCACAGCTTGTTCCTCTGCCCGCTTGCATGAGCCCGCCCGCCTGGGGATGAGTGAGTGAGTGAGACTTGGGGTGCCGCCGCCCCTTGTGCTCCTTTGTCACCCATCTCTCTCTCTCTCCCCCAACTTCACTAGCTCCTCTCTTCCTAATCTCTTTCTCTCTTCCTCTCCCCCCCCCCCCGCCCCCATCTCCCTCTGTCCGCCCCATCCCTGCATCTCTCCTTTCCCTTTTCCCCCTCAGTGCCCCTCTCCCCTCCATCACAGTACCCTCTGCCCCACTCCATCCTCTCCCACCCCCACTGCTGCACCCCACCCCTCCACCTCCCCTCTGTCCGTGTCCTCCACGCCTCCCTCATGTGTCATCTGTATGTTTCTCGAACCCCCTTTTTGCTCCCCACTCTCAGCTCTCCATCACTTTCTTCCTCCCCAGTCGCTCTATCCTTCAGTCTCACTCACTGCCCCTCCTGTACCCAGCTCCCCCCACCTCCATCCTGGCTGCCTCGCTGCCCCTTTCCCAGTCTTGACCGGGTTCCCCCCCTCTGGCTGCTAATGAGCATAGGAGCCTTTGAGGTGGCCCGGGCTGGGGTAGGGGCTCCCGGAGGGGGGTAGAGGGGCAGCTGCTGCCAAGGCCCTAATGAGGCCCCCTCTGCGCCCCTCCCGCAGCGATCTTAATTCCCTGTTCTCCCCAGAGCCACCGCTAATTGGCCTGGGGCGGCCCCCTCCCGCGCATGCTCTTTCCCAGGGGTGGGGGCAGGACACCTGGATCCTGGTCCAGCACCTGTGGCCCGTCCTTCTGCCCTCCCTCCACCGCCTGGCAGTCTCCCATCTGTGCTCCTCTCCCCCTTCCCTCCTCCGCTCCTTCCTTCCTCCACCTGCCTCTAGACACCCCATCTAAGCCCCCCTCCAACCCGCACTAACCCTCTCTTCCGTTGTCTGTCTCTGCCTTGGCTGCTTCTTGGTCTCTTCATCTGGCCCCTTTCCATTCTGTTTCCCTGTCCCCCTCTCCACCTGACTCTGGGCTCCCCGTTTGTGAGCCGGCACCCCGTTTGTGAGCCGGCGCCACTGCGTCCCAACACAACCCAGTTACCGGGTCTCCCCAGGGCCTGAGGCACCTCCACCCCGGGACCCAGACTAGCCCTGGCCTATCGCCTGGGCCCCTACTCCGGCCCCGCTTTTAACCCCTTCACCGCCGCAGACATGTCCAACAACATGGCCAAGATCGCCGAGGCCCGAAAGACCGTGGAACAGCTGAAGCTGGAGGTGAACATCGACCGCATGAAGGTGCCAGGTCGGGGGTGGGAGGAAAGCGGGGTCTTCGTGGCGGGGTAGTGGGGAGGAGGAGCGGAGGGCTGGGGGTGGGCTCGGGTCTGAACCCCCGCGGGAAGATCCAGTTGGAACAGGACCGGACTCGGGGAGGAATCCTGGGCTGGGCCGACCTCTGACCTGGACTAATAATGGGCGGGGCTACACAGTGAGGGGCGGGGCCCAGAAGTGGGGCCGGCGCGGGCGGGGTCTCGTGTGGGCGTGGCCTTGGAGCGGGGCGGGGCGTGGTCAGCTCCACCTCGCGCGCCGCAGGTGTCACAGGCGGCGGCTGAACTGTTGGCCTTCTGCGAAACGCATGCCAAAGACGACCCGCTGGTGACGCCGGTGCCGGCCGCAGAGAACCCCTTCCGTGACAAGCGCCTCTTTTGTGTCCTGCTCTGAGTCCTCTCGACAGTTTACCCTCCCTTGCCAAAGTAAGAACCCAATAAATGTGGTGACTGTGGTGGTGGCCGTGTTTTCGGGGAAACTGAGTCAGACACAGAGCTTGGGGCCAGTGTTGGGGAACCTGAGTGCCTTCTCATTCTGAGTGTGTGTGTGGGGGGAATTGGGGGTGGAGGTGAGGATATATGGGGTGTGTGGGTACCCAAGAGGCTGGGAGGAAATGAACGCTGCTGACACGGATCATGGTGGGCGCTCCCTGATCCTGGCTCTGCTTGGATAATCAATTTACAGATGGGAAACTGACAAAAGGTCACCTGGGGGGAAGACAGGACTCCTGTATCCTCGGTACCCGTCAGACTGACCCGTCTTCTCTCTTCCCCTCTCCTGAGTGGGGGGGTTCTTAGGGACCCCATTGCAGCTCACCCTTCTCATCCCTGAAGGACTCCATGTGCTTTGTCCAAATCTGGCTAGTCCCTTCCCCCATCACAGTGCCATCTCTGTCCTTGAGCTCTGCTCTCTGCTCACCCACCTGTTCATTCTTCCCAGTACGCCCTGATACTTGCTCCGTGCTGGGCTCTGTGCTGGGTGTACCTGGAGACTTGGCTGTGGCCGAGACAGCTGGGGCTCAGAATCCAGTGGGAGGCCAGACCTGCCCCCAGACAGCGGTGACCCAAGTGGGCAAGACTGAGTCAGGGAGCCCAAGGTAGCATCTGACTCTGCCTGGGAAAGAGGAAGGGCTTTCAAAAGGAGGGCACACCTGGGATGCGGTGGCCATTAAACTCAGGGGCCTGGGAGGAGAAAAGCGGCAGGCAGAAAGGGAGAGGAGACAAATGAAGTGCACACGCCTTTCTTTGACAATTATTTCTACGTTGTGGGGACACGGGTGGCTCTGACAGGACTCATTCCTGCCCTGTATTTCCAGCTCGCGTCTTGGTGGCCCACAGGACAGAAACACTCTATACGGACAGTGAGCTAATGCTTGGTTGCCAGATTGAAAAAAATAGGAGCACTTCTCACAGAAGCGCATCTTCCTGGTCTTTCCTGACTTGGTCTGGTGCCCTCGGGCGGGCACAGCCCCATAGGCGGAAGTCGGAAGTCGGGCTCTGGACTTTCCAGTTTTCCAAATTCGCCACCAGGCCCTATTGTTTTCTGGTTAAGGTGATAGAAGGCCAAATGCTTTTTTATCATGAAGACTGTATCAGGGCTTCTTACAGTGGATTGAAGAGAAAGGTGGAAAGTCTTAAACCTGTGTCTCTTTTGAGGCTGGGGAAATGCAAACTGAATAAGCTGTGGGTTTGGTGAATTCTTTGTTTTTGGTTTTTCCAAAGATTTATTTTTATTTATTTAGGCATACAAGAGCTGTGGTGTAGGCCAGAATTGTGGGGGTGAGAGGATTCACCAGAGACAGAGTGGGGAGCAGAACAGGCAGATCGACTGAAATCACTGGTGAGGGGTTTAATGGGGAGACAGGAGAGGCCTGTGTGCCTGTGTGCCCTGTGGGTCAGCTCCCTGGTCAAGGATCAAACTCCTGCTGCAGTGGCTGTTGATAGCTTGATAGTCCTGAGACTTTAACCCCTGCACCACCAGGGAGGGCCTGGTTAATTATTTCTACTGATTGGCCTGGGGGCCAGTGTGTGACCCCCTCCCTCTCCTCAGCTTCCATCTTGTGCTGCTCAGTTTGGGGCTGACAGGGGTTGGACCCCAGATATGGATGGAGACTGCTCAGTTCACTCACGGCCTCAGAGAGGGGGTTGTTCACACATCTGGCAAGTGCTCCATTATTCACATTGGATTAGGGTCCCCTGGGCCCCAATTCTGAGCTTCCTGGTGGATCGAGGCAGAAGCGGCTGTAATTACATCTCCCTCCTGCCTCCCACCTCTCAATGGCTCCGGCCTGGTTGCATCATGTCTGGGGGAGCCCCAGGGGAGATAGGGGACAGAGCAAGCCAAGGATGATTTGGAAGGGAAGGTAGAGGGAAGAAATAAACTGGGAGAGAAGTTACCAGAAGAATTGCAGAATTTCACAGAGCCAGCATCTTTGTAGCTCAGAATCTGATATGAGAAGGAATCTAGATTCCCAGGACCAGGGGCCCAGGATTCTAGAGACATCAGCTCTTACGGGCCGGATGCGGAGGGCCAGGATGCTGGGGTCCTGCCCACCTGCCACTACACTGCCAGAGCTCAGCACCTCAGGAGCATATGGGCTTCTAGAACCTCACTGTTGGGACTTGGATCCTTCCAGACCTGGAACTGTGCAGGTCCTTCCTCCTTTGCATTCTAGAGCCTGGGATGGAAGCAAGTGTGCTGGTGACCGGTGGGGGACAGAGCAGGAGGGGGAGGGCTGGAGGGGACTGCCAGGAGGAGGAGGGGCGGGGTGAGCCTGCTCCCAGACATTGAGACAGGCAGGGAGAAGCCAGAGGGACTGGCAGGTCCTGGCCGTGCAAGCCTGGGTAATCTCGTTAGCTGTTTGCCTCTGCAGCAGCAAGGGCTTCCGGTGACTCGGTGACTCGCTGCTCTTTCCTGCCACTGGCAGTATCAGGTCAGCTTTGAGGTCAGGGGTCAAAGTCAGGTCAAGAGGCAGAAGCTAAAGGCCTGGAGAAGTGCCTGTACCCCAGAGTGCCCTCTTACCAACCCCACTCTGCCCCACCCAGCTTCCTGCCCTCTACTGAGAGCAGTGTGTGGCAGCCTGGGGCTCTGGCGTAGCTACAGCCATCATTACTGAGAGTCTTCCACAGCCCCCAAACGGACTCAGTTCACCCTCATGTGGGGGTCCCGTGTTGGGCCTGAGGTTGAAGTTGGAGGAGCCAAAGGATGTCTGCTCAGCAGACTCGGGAGCTGTTCAGGGGCCTTGAGGAATGGAAGTGAGGCTGTCCAGGCAGGGCGGGGCAGGGGCCTGGAGCAGGGCTGGAAGCAGCGACCGGCTGGTTGACAGGGCCCCACGGTGAGTGGACAAAAGGACAGTGGGCAGCGAAAAATGGCCTCTGGCTCCTTATGTGGGCACTGCAACGCGGTATCGCGTGGGGCAGACACAGCAGCCGTGGCGGCAGTGAGGGGACGCGGGCAGACGGAGTGTGCGCACACAGATGCACTGCATTGAGATGGGGTCGGCCTCTTCCCAGGGCCGGGCCAGGAGGCCGGAAACCGCAAGTGAGATGAGGGTGGGCCTGGGGCGAGCCAGGATCCAGTTGGGAGCACATCCAAATGCAGCCTGCATGGGGCTGGGGGCCTGGCCAGTAGGCGTGGGCGAGGCCCGTTTTGGCCCCGTTTCCTGGCCTCCGTGGCGCTTGCCCTCAGGAGGACACACACCCAGATGGGAGCACAGGCGGGATGACTCAGCTGAGGGCCGGCCTGCCCAGCTCCGCTCCGTCCCTCCTCTCCTTGCCTTGTCAGAGGCCACATGTCCCTGTCATGCCTCTGAGCCCCTCGGCCTCTCAGCTCTTGGCCCACTGTAAGTGGGCTGGGGTTTGTTGAATGTCTAATAGCAGCACCAACAGTATTTGAGGGCTTCCTGGAGGTAGGCAGCTGAATTTTCTCTAATCTTCACACAACACCCGAGAAGGGCAAGGCAGCCACCAGAGGGAGACCACTGAGGCTCAGAGAGGGGGATGTTGTTTTCCAGTGTCACACAGCAAGTGACTGACCGGTGGGGTGGGGGAGAAGAGCTTCCAGACCAGCCTCTCTCCCCTGCATCCGGCACCCCTCCACCTATAAATGCACCCCCCAGTAGACATGGACACACAAGTAGGTCTTAGAGCTTAGCACCGGCCTTGCTCACCTTGCTCATCGACTGTTCACTTAGCTCTCTCAGGCCTGAATAACCACACTCAGATCCACACATGAAGCTCACACCCCCACAATCCCTAAATCCCTAGCTCACTCCCTCCCTGTGTGCACCGCCCCCACCCTGTGGCACCCAGGCCCCTCCTCATCTGGGAAATCAGTCTCCAATGGCCTCTGGACCATTCTCCCTCCCTCCCTCTGGAGAGGCCTGAGTTCTCTTCCTAGTGCAGGTGCTGCCTCAGCACCCCCAAACCCCTTTGTAAGGGACCTCTCACCCCACAGCACCTGGAATCCTTTGTGGATTCAGCTGTAGGCTTGGCCCATGGGACCTCATTGGGGCCAGGTCCCAGCAGAGGTGGGCATTTGGGGCCCCCCCGAAGGTGAGTAGATGTGTGTCCAGCCCTGGCCCCGGCCCCGACCCTCAGCGCTCCCATTCCTAATTCCTCCTGGGCCTGGGGCTGGTCTAGGGTCCCTGGTGGGGACTGGAAACCAGTGGGAGGGAGGCTCCGGGAACCAGAGCCCCTCCCCCGCCCCCTGCAACAGCCCTGATGCTGAAACAGGATGCGCGCCTGGCAGGCATCATCCTTCATTAATACGCTGTAACTTCCTGAGTCCCCTTCAGCGCCCAGAGCTGGAGAGCAGTGAGGGGCCAGGGACCAGGTGGCTGGGGGGCTCAAGACCCAAACACACAGGCACCCAGAGTTGGCTCTCGGTCACTTGAGGAGAGTCTGGTATGGGTGAAGCTGGGGTATCCATCCTGCCGGAAGGAAGCCGGGATGCAGCTGGTGGTGGGTGATAGGGAGGGCGGATCTGGGGTGCGGGGAAGTCTGCCACTGCCCGCTGCCCACGCTCGGGGTCAAGGGCAGCCTGCCCGCCTTGTATGTGGCACGGCCCTGCACAGCTCACCCTCGCTTCACCAGGATGTGCGGCCCCAGTTGGCACCAGGCCCGCGAGCTGCTCACTCCACTGCATGCAGGAGGGAGCGAGACCCACGGCCCATCCCTGTCCGTCCACCCCAGGGAGGTGGACAGGTGGAGGTGGGGGCATTGTATGTGTGAGACCAAGAGTTTGTGATTTCCACACTTAGACTGGCTCCCTGAAAAAGAAGGGGTGCCTGAGAGGGTGCCCCAAGACCCACCTGGTGCTCAGGGATGGGGGGACGAATGGAGGCCCTGGGCTCGGGGGGACAAGGACAGGTGACCGTGTGCTGGCAGGTGGGACACAGGGGCTGACAGGCAGGCAGCCGGGAGGGGTGAATGAGGGGGATGCTGGACTCTGGACAGCTATTTGGGGCCAAAATATTCCTGTAGGTCAAGGTCGCCAGAGAGTGGTGTAGGTCCTGGGAGTGCTGGTGTGGGAGCAGAGGTGGCCCCCAGGCTGCCCCCAGGGTGCTGGGCTTTGAGCCCCTCCTCCCGCCTCCTGGGGGGCTCGCAGGGTGAGCCTGCGGGCTGAAGCTGCAGGACTGCTCCCGGGCCTGACATTTTCCCCCTGGCTGGCCACCTCCTTCACAGACTTCTTCTGGAAGGACTGACTTGTGTCCAGGGAACAGAAATCTCAGTGGTGCCTGGAAAACACTGCATCAGGGAGGAATTTCCTGGTCATTTCTCAATCCCTGGGCAAGGTCTAACCCCAGGGCCTGGAGCCCAGAATAGATCCCAGAGGCCACCCCCCACAGCTTCCCAGACTGGTCACTGTGGCCCTCGAGGTCCGTTGCAGACCCACTGTGAGCGCCAAGCTCCGGGGTGATGGCTGTATGACCCGCCCCCCCCCCCAAGACCTTGGCGGAGGTGGGGGGAGGTGGCAGGTGGCTCCGTGATGGGACGAGAGGACACTGGGTGGGAGGCAGAGGCTCGAGCTGGGCTAACTGGGCAGGGGGCACAGAGCCATGGAGCCAGAGAGCCTGGGAAGGGGAGGGAGCCAAGGGGCCTCTGGAGAAGGCAGGGGAGGGAAGGCGGGGCAGAGAGAGGAAATGAAAAAGCCGGGGCTAGCAGGCAAGCTGAGTAGGGAGGGCTGAGGGAGGGAGGGAGGGAGGGAAGTGGGGAGAAGCTGACACACGCAGACCCACCCGGAGCCTGGGAAGGAGAGGAGGGACTGACAGACACCTCAGAGGTGCGGCTGGGGAGCCGGACAGGCAGAGCAGGGGCTGGAAGCGGGGTAGGGGAGGAGGGCCAGGCGGGGGGCAGAGAGGGAGGAGCAGGGCAGAGAGCCCGCCAGAAGGACCGGGGACCCAGAGAGGCGAGGGGCGGGGAGAGACGCAGAGGAGGCCAGAGAGACAGAGACAGACAGAGACCCAGGCGGGGACAGAGGGCAGACAGGAAAGGAACACGGCGGGCGAGAGGAGCCCTGTCTGCAACGGGGTCACCGACAGACCCCCGGGGTGGGGCGCCGTGGGCAGGATGGAGGCCGGTGTCTGAGTGCCCAGCAGGCCGCCCCCCGCCCCCCCGGGGACCCCCGCAGTCCAGGCCTGGGGGCCAGGATGGCCGATGACTGCCGAAACCTCACCTACGTCCAGGACTCGGTGGGCCCGGCCACCAGCACCCTGATGTTCGTGGCAGGCGTGGTGGGCAACGGGCTGGCGCTGGGCATCCTGGGGGCGCGGCGGCGGTCCCGGCCCTCGGCCTTCGCGGTGCTGGTCACCGGGCTGGCGGTCACCGACCTGCTGGGCACGTGCTTCCTGAGCCCGGCCGTGTTCACGGCCTACGCCCGCAACAGCTCGCTGCTGGGCCTGGCCCGGGGCCGGCCGGCCCTGTGCGACGCCTTCGCCTTCGCCATGACCTTCTTCGGCCTGGCCTCCACGCTCATCCTCTTCGCCATGGCCGTGGAGCGCTGCCTGGCGCTCAGCCACCCCTACCTCTACGCCCAGCTGGACGCGCCCCGCCGCGCCCGCCTGGCCCTGCCGGCCATCTACGCCTTCTGCACCCTCTTCTGCGCGCTGCCGCTCCTGGGCCTGGGCCAGCACCAGCAGTACTGCCCGGGGAGCTGGTGCTTCATTCGCCTGCGCTCCGCCGAGCTGGGCGGCTGCGCCTTCTCGCTGGCCTACGCCAGCCTCATGGCCCTGCTGGTGGCCGCCATCGTCCTCTGCAACGGTTCGGTCACCCTGAGCCTCTGCCGCATGTACCGTCAGCAGAGGCGCCACCAGGGTGTGGCCGCCCCCGGGCCCCGGGCGGGCGAGGACGAGGTTGACCACCTGATCCTGCTGGCCCTCATGACGGGCATCATGGCCGTGTGCTCCCTGCCCCTGACGGTGAGTCCCCTCTGGCGGGCTGGGCGGTGCGGCGGCCTGGGGGTGACGCTTCTGGGGTGGGGAGACTGAGAGGCGGCAGGTGGAGGCTCGTTGGAGCCGGCAGTTCCCAGCCTCCCGGAGAGGCAGCTGCCCGCTGGCTCGGCCCCCTTGCGCCCCGCCCACATCTCCAGAGGTCCTCGTCACCTGCACCCCAACACCCCTCTCTGCTCCAATAATGCTGAGCCCCAGTCTTCGTCAAGGGCCCGCTCTGTGCCCGCCGGCGCCGGTGGCTCACGGACACACGCTCAGAGAATCTTCCAAACGACCTCAAGCTCCATGAGTGTTTAAAACAGACGCGACTGCTGGGTCGTCACCATTTTTACAGACCGAGGGGCCCGTCTCTTGGCACGATCACACAGAGCCAGGTCTGGCCCAGCTCCTCCGACTCGGGTCTGAACCCCCAGCCCCAGCCCCGCCCCACCTCGGTTCTGCCCTTCCCACCCGCCAGCTTTGGGGGGGCCTCGGTGCCCCCACCCCGTCATCGTGCCCACAGTCTCAGCCTGCTTTTCTTTTTAAAATGCAAGGGCAGGACACCATGTGAAGGAAGTCAGAGCTTTCTGGGGGTGACGTGACGGCCGTAGACAGATGGGCACGGGGACACCCATGTGCACCCCATTTGTCTCCTATATGGCGGCTGTGGGTTATTCCCCAGGGCTTTTTCTCCCCGGGTGTATTTGTTACTTATTTTGCATCTTATTTCCTTCCCCTCTGACAGCCCCTGGCCCCATCCCCCATGCCTGCCAGCAGCAAGTGGGAGCCAGGCAGAAAGGTGGGGTGTGGGGCATGGAGAAAGGTGGGTGCTGCTTGACACCTTCCCTCTGTCCTCAGATCCGTGGCTTCACCCAGGCCATCGCCCCAGACAGCAGGCAGATGGGGGACCTCCAAGCCTTCCGGTTCAACGCCTTCAACCCCATCCTGGACCCCTGGGTCTTCATCCTCTTCCGCAAGGCTGTCTTCCAGCGGCTCAAGCTCTGGTTGTGCTGCTTGTGCTCCAGGCAGGGCCACGGAGACTCCCAGATGCCCCTCTCCAGGCCTGCCCCGCGGGGCAAGAGCCCAGGGGCCCCCACTGCTCTCAGGGGAAAGGAGGGGAGCTGGGTGCCTTTGTCAGCCTGGGGCGAGGGCAGAGGTGCCCCCTTGCCGCAGGCACCACAATCAGGCAGCCCTGCAGGAGCCCCGTCCAAAGTGGGGTCTGCTTGCTCCCTCTGCTGACCCCCGCCCTGTCTTCTGGGGGCAGGAGGCAGAGAACCCTGCTCTTCCGAACCAAGGCCGCGGTAGACAGGCGGGGAGGGGACTCCTGGAGCCGATGCTGGACAGAACTGTGAGCCCCTCAATTCAGGGGCCGTCAGCTGCTCTTTCTCCTCCTCTGGGACCCCCGGAGACAGGCCTGGGGGGAGAGGGAAGTAGGAAGTTCGTCCTGCAGCTTTTTAAAAAGGAACCGTTCTCTCAAAATAACCAGAGGCTCGCTGCCCCGGCCTGGCCCTCACCGCCACCCATCTCAAGTCTAAATATTTACATGGCGGGGTTCCCAGCAGCTTCTGTGCGCAGGTCTGCTGAGCTGGGCTTGCAGCCCCCCCCACCCTTCGCCTGCCCCCAGTCCCCGGGGACTCCCCCAGGTCACACCATGTCAGCCTTCTCTGTCCCCTCAAGCTCCCAGTCTGCCTCGCTGCTGGTTCCCATCACACCTGAGAGCCCCGGCCACCAGGGGGCACGGGGCGGAACGGGGTGGTTAAGGTGGGAGGGGGCCTGTTACATTATGGGGTGACACTGCTAAGCAGGTACCAGAACCTGGCTTGTTGGACACAGGATGTGGATTGTGGGGGCAAGGGGTGGAGATGGGGGAGATGGGGGGTGGGTTGCAGGGGCTGCCCCCAGTGCACCCCACGGACCTGGTCCTTTTATAAATAGCTGTCTCCTTAGAGAGACTTTCACCTCAGCATCCTTAGAGTCCTCGCAAAGGGTCTCTGTCCTGCCCTGGATGCCACCCTGGGGTGGTTTCCAGTCTCTCTCCCTCCCCTGCCCCACCCCTGCTTTCAGAAGGGCCCAGAAGAATGGAGAATGCTGGGGGAATGAGCCGAGTGGCAGGGAAGGAAGCGGGGCTGGGGTGGTGGGAGGGTGAACAGTAAAGTCCCCCCACCCATGCCGCCCCAGGTCCCCTCTCAAACCTGCTTCTGGGTTCAAACAATAAATGCACAGGGGTGGGGGCGTCGGCAGGAGAGAGCCTCCTATGAAGATGACCCAGGCAAAAGCGTGTCCCCAGGAGAGTGCCCCTCCCTCCCCCACCTGCCCCAGGGCCTGCTGCTCTGCAGAGGTGGGGCCTGTCCGGAGAGGCCCCCAGGTCGCCCTAGGAGGCAGAACAGGTGGAGGTGCGGGTCTCCCGCTCCCTAGCTCTGGCCTGGACTTCTATCCGGGCCTTGGTGTCGTTTACGGTACTTAGCTGGGCACTCACGGTCCCCCCTCAGGAGCAATTAGGCACCGAGCCTGGGATGAAGCGGCTTACTTCAGGGTCTGCTGCAGCTGCTCACTATGAATCTGATCTCAATAAAGGGGAAGATGGTTCTGGCAGAGCAAGAAACAGGTCGGGTAACTGACTGCCTGCTGGGTCTGGGCTTCCTCTGCGTGATAGAATGTTCTGGAACCGGACAGCCACTCAGCATCGCCAATGTACTAAGTGAACGGCACTTGAGAATGGTTCCGATGGTCAGTTTGATGTTATGGGCATTTTACACACTAAAAAAATGCTAAAACAAAAAATAAATGGAGGTTGTTGGTAGACTTTTAGAGCAGCTGGTGGGATCTAGTAGCCAAGTTGACTTGCACAAAGAAACAAAATAAAATCTGGCCAAGACACATGAGGTGGGGCTCGCCTTTGTCACCAAACTGGTTGCCCCCAGAAGAAACCCAAGAAAGCCCCTGGAGGGCGGGATGAGGGGGCGCACAAGGGCATTTGGGCAAGAGCCGTGGGGGCGAGGGCACTTGCCCCTTGCCCCTTTGCTGCCCCCAAGATGGGTCCTGTCGCCATTCCCGTTTCTTTCAGGGGCAGGTTAAGGGGAGGAAGGATCTGAGGCTTGCCGCTGTTTTCCTGCTGGTGCTCAGCCTCAAGACCTGACGTCTCCGGACTCCCCCTCTCCTCTGGCTCTCACCCCTGGCCCAGAAGTCTATGCGGTCTGCCAGGTCAGCCCCCCCACCCCCACTGCCCTCTGTGGTGATTTGGAACCCCTCTCTCAGATGGAGGCCACTGATTCCAGCCGCCCCATCAGCTCTGCCAGCTGCCTCAGTGCTGCCTGCCCGGCTGAGTCACTGCTTGCAAGCCTTGGGGCCACTGCCTGGGGGTTGAGGGCCAACCCACGTGCTTTCGCAGCCACGGGCAATATCCCGGGTTTCCCCGCAGAGCCCGTGACCTTTCTGGGGTCAGACTTTTTTTGTTAAGATTTATTTATTTATGCATACAGAACTGGGGTACAAGGCAGAGGTGTGGGAGGGTGAGAGGAGTCACCAGAGACAGAGCGGTGAGCAGAACAGGCAGACTGACTGAAGCACACTGCTGAGGGGAGCAGCTGGGAGACAGGAGAGGTCTGCTGCGCCTTGTGGGTCACTCCCTGGCTGGGGATTGAACTTGTACTGCAGTGGCCGCGGGTAGCTTCACAGTGCTGCACTTTAAGGTGTTGCGCCAGCAGGGAGGGCCCTGTTTTCGTGCATTAGCATCGGGCCTGACCCACAGGTGGGATGTAACCGTGGACCACAGCCCAGGGAGGCTGGTCCCAGGCTTTCTGTGGACACTGCCCCACCTGCTGGCCACACTGGAAATGACACATAGACGTGACCCCCGAGCTGGGGCGCTAGTCAGTCACAACCCTGGGGAAGGGAGGTGAACCTCCTTTCCCTCCCGGGGACGCTGGCTGGCACCTCCAAGCATGCCCCCCCTCCAGTCACTCACGGGGGGCTTCGTGCTGTCCTAGCAGAGCTGTATGCCGCGCTGCAAACGCTCCCCACCCTAGATGCGCCTCTGCTTTGGCTGCTGTCAGCGCCCCTGTCCATTAGAGGCTCAGATGCCAGCTACCGGAGCTGAAGGGAAGTTATGGTTATTAATAATGCAGCCTGTGTGGAAGGCAAAGTCTTTCAAAGTTCAGGGCCCCAAGGGCAAAATTAAGGAGCAGACGGTAGGCAATGGGGTGTTAAAAGCATGGGTGTTAGACCCTGGGGCCATCTGGGGTTTTCAGCTCCAGTTCAGCCACTTCCAAGAAGGGTGGGTGAGGTATTCCCAGTTCGGCTCCCTTCCTTCCTGTCAGACCTGTGGATCGCCCATTTCAGGCGGGAGCTGGCACGCCATACATGGTGCTGAGTTTTACTAAGGTTCAATCTGGCCTGGGTGAGAGTGAAATGAGGTCTAGAAAGTGCTTGACAAGTCTCCCGAGGTGGGTATTCTTATGAGTCCCCAGTTTAATCACTTTAAAAAAAAGATTTATTTATTTATGCACACAAGAGCTGGGGTACAGGCCCGGGGTGGGGGTGAGAGCATTCACCAGAGACAGAGTGGGAAACAGAACAGGTGGATGGACTGAAATCCACTCCTGAGGGGAGCAGTGGGGAGACAGGGGAGGTCTGCTGTGCCCTGTGGGTCACTCCCTGGCCAGGCATCGAACTTGTGCTGCAGTGGCTGCAGATAGCTTCATAGTGGGGCGCTTCAACACACTGTGCCACCGGGGAGGCCTCCATGCCCCATTTGGCAGCTGCAAACTGAGGCCTGGCAAAGTGAATGCTCAGCGGCTCAGAAGGGGCCAAGGCTTGGTCATTGAGGCTTGGCAAGGGCAGACACAGCAGCAAGCAGGCACCCTGGCGAACAGCCCGGCTGGTTCTGCGGGTCACCAAACTGTCTTCATCTCAGGTGAGACCAGAATTCCCCGCTGTTATCCTGGCCAGCTCCAGGACCCACCACCAGGACCCTGGCTTCAGTCAGGCCTTCTCCTGGCTGGGCCTGGGGCCTGTCGGAAGTCAGCCATTTTTTTTTAATTTAAAAGACCATTTACTTTAAAACCAGGCAGCTGGGTGTAGACCCTGGGGGTCAGCTCAGCCACTTTATATATAAAAAAAAAGATTTATTTATACACACAGAACTCGGGGACAGGCCAGAGGTGTCGGGGTGAGAGGATTCACCAGAGTGGGGAGCAGAACAGGAGACTGACTGACACCCACTGCTGAGGGGAGCAGCAGGGCAGAAGAGCTCTGCACTGGCTGTGATAGCCCCACAGTGCTGAGCTTTCGCGCTGGTGCCACCAGGGAGGGCTTTGCCACTTTTGACTTAAGAATACCATGAGCTCTTACTCTTTACACTCTCCAGTCTTTGCTGTGCCCCGAACACCACAGGCACATCAAAGGTGGCACAAAGCTGGAGTTCTGGGCAAATAGCTGGCTGCTCCCGGCTGCCTGCCCCAGGCAGCCGCCCAGGAAGACGCAGCTGGGCCTGATCTCTGGGCCAGGACAGCCCCCAGGTGGGGCTGCCAGAGCCTCCCTCCTTCCGGGCCCGAAAAGATACACGGAGGAAAAGGAATCTTCACTCCGCCAAGTCCTGTCTCCTGAAACTCCTGCCCAGCCGGGGGTGAGTACCCCTCTCAGAATGTCTGGGGCCTGTTATCTGTTTGCCCACGCGCCCCGGAACAGGGAGCAGAGGGGCTCTGGCGTCATATTTTGGGAGGGGCCTGCGGGCCCATGCCTGGAGGAAGCCGAGCGCCCCTGGTGCTGTGCACGCGCTTGTTTCGGATCCCCTCAGCCCTGGCTCTCCCTGGCCCTACTGGGGGCGACTGGAAGCCCCAGGCGCTCAGGAGCACGCCTCTTGTCAGGGTTCAGCTCACTTGCCTGTCTGTCTCACTCGCTCTGACAAGGCACCCCCTCTCCAAAGCACCTGTTGAGAATCCCAACAGACTGGGCCTGCAGGGTCTGACCCTGACTTCTGGAAACCTCACTGGCTTCCGAGTTGTGGCCTTGGGGTGACCTGTCTGCCCTGCCTGTGTCGCTTCCTCAGAGGACACCTCTGAGGAAGCCTTCTGCTGCCGTCAGGCGTCACGCACCCGTCAGGCCTCAAGCTGCATCCCCCCCAGCTGGCACAACCCGCCAACCCCAGGCCTTCTGGGGTCTGGCTGGAGAAAGCCTGAAGCAAAGGCAGGGCGCAGGCCCAGAAACCCACACAAGATGAGGAGAGCCAAGTCAGGTAGTCACTGTATTTTATTGGAAAACATTGATATATATTTTTCTTCACAGCTTAAACTGAACACAATATTGCCCGGTTAAAAAAAAAAACAACAAAAAACCAAAATCAAAACACTCCGAAAAAATGCCTACAGCCTCCCGTCTAACCTGCCCTCGTCCTCGGCTCCACAGGTGCCAGACCCACCCTCCCTGCCTCCCCCAGGCTGGGCGCCAGAGGGCGGTGGGGATTCTCAAAGCTGGGCAGGTCCAGGAAAAGCCACTTGATCGACCTGGGGGTGGGGGTCGGGTCTGATGGAATAAACAGAAACGGGAGCAATGCAGACACCGATCTGCCCACACTGACTTACTTGTCCCAGAGGCGAACGCCAGAAGCGAGGTCACGGATCATGCTCTCCGGTGGGGTGGGGGGCAGGCAGGCAGGCGGAGGGGGGCAGGCAGGCGGACAGCGCACGAGGGGAGCCAGCCAAGTCTCGCGGAGAAGCGCGGGCAGAGCCGGTCCTGGGCAGGCAGCCGTCCCGGGCAGGTCGCTGCCAGGATGGCCTTATTGCGGGTGTGTCCTCTCCAGCGCAGTGGGCGCATCCTCCCACTCCCCACCCTCCAGCCAGCCAGCCCGGCATAGGTCTTGACAAAATCAAAAGGTTCAGGGGCAGAAAGAAACAGGACAGCCAGCACAGGACAAAGCAAGGGTCCCCAGTCCATCCCAGAGGGGACCCCAACGCCAGAGGCCCAGAGGGCGGTGTGGTGCGTGCGAGGGAGCCGCAGGGGGTGTTAGCACCAGGTATTTACACAACAGCTCAGATCGCTGGAAAGTGGCCTGCAGTCTGCAGGGGGGCGGCTGTGCAGCCCCCACCTGGCCCAGCCCTGGAAAGCCATCGGGTGGTCTCAGGACAGCAGCCAATGGGATCTGAGTGCTTCCCACTGTGGCCCCCTTCTCGAGTCGGCCCGCAAGTGGGGGTGGGCCGGGGGGCCAACACTCCGCTGCCTGTCACCCCTCCCAGGCTACATCCACTTGACACGCAACTCCGGGACCCCTCAACCCTGCTGGAAGGCCTGCCCCAACCCCCGCCCCAAAGGCGGCTGGGACTGGCCCAGGGAGCCGCAGGGCCGGCTGCATGCAGCAGCGAGCATGCTCTCCTGCCCGGGCAGGGCCTCGAGCCCACCCAGCAGGTCCCGGGACGGGGCCGGCCGCCACCCCAGCACCCAAAATAAGATGACAAACGGAAGGAGACAAAATGAAATGGGGGGAGCCACCCGGGCGGGAGGAGGAGGGCAGAGGCTCCCCTCGGGGAGGGGCTTCGTCTTGTGAACGTGTCAGGCCTTGGAAGATGTGAGTGGGAGAAGGGGAGGCCAAAGGAAGAGATGAGGGGCAGGGAGGAGGCTCAGGGAGGAGGGAGAAAGAGCAGTCATGCAGCTTGGGACAAATCTTTTGTCGCTTTATCAGATTCTCAGTCAATCAATTGGTGTTTGCTAGAACCGGGTACGCAGGGGAGTGTCGAAGAGAGTGCGCGCGCGAGAAGAGAGATCAAGAGGACGGGCATCGCCAGCTGCCCGGGCCTTCACTTCGCAGTCATCATCTGTACAAACTCTGTGAAGTGAGAGGGGGCAGGCCGGTGAGTGGGGTGCGCCTCAAGGCCCGCCCCGACATGGCTCCCGGCCCGGACCTGGCCACCTCACCTTCATAATTGACCTGCCCGTCCCCGTCGATGTCCGCCTCCCTGATCATCTCATCCACTTCCTCATCCGTCAGCTTCTCCCCCAGGTTCGTCATGACATGACGCAGCTCCGCCGCGCTGATGTAGCCGTTGCCGTCCTGGGTGTGGGGGGGCGGGGGCTGTCAGTCACCCCCACTCAGCCGGAAGGCTTCCCGAGGCTGCAGACCGGGATGGGCCCTGGGCCCCTGGCCTCCCAGGAGCGGCCACCCAGGCTGCGCTTGGGTTGGGTGTCCTGAGCCACCCGGGCAGGACACTCACCTTGTCGAAGACACGGAAGGCCTCTCGGATTTCCTCCTCACTGTCTGTGTCCTTCATCTTCCTGGCCATCATGGTCAGGAACTCCGGGAAGTCGATGGTCCCGTTCCCTGCAAGGGAAAGGGAGGTGGTTTGCGCTTGGTCTGGACCTAGGAGAGGCCTGGCAGAAGAAAGCCTGCCTCTCCGTCACCCCAGGAAGCTCCCGTGGTCGCTGGGGCTGACCCGCCTCAAGGGGCTCACCATCTGCGTCCACCTCGTTGATCATGTCCTGCAGCTCCGCCTCAGTGGGGTTCTGTCCCAGGGATCTCATCACTGTCCCCAACTCCTTGGTGGTGATAGTGCCGTCTCCATCCTTGTCGAAGAGGGAGAAGGCCTCCTTGAACTCTGAGGGGAGGCCAGCGAATTAGATGAGGAGGACCACAGGGACACCCCAACTTTGGGGTGCTCGGTGCCAGCCCAGGCCCTCGCCTGCCTTCTTTCGGCCCGTGCTGCGCCGGGCGCAGCTGCCTGCCTGGCCACCGCTGCCGGGTGGGCAGAGGGAGCATGTGAGAACTGTCTTTCGATAACTCGCTTTCTTTTTGGTCTCTGGCGGCAGCTTCTTGCTCAATGATGAAATCACCAGTGTCATGGGGTGGACGGGCGTCGAGAGAAGCACCCAGCAGCGCCGCTGGCCGCGGGAGCTGGCTGTGCAGCCAGGCTGCAGCAGGCCCTGGCCGGCAGTGAGCCCTCCCGACTGCCCTGCCAGCCCAGTGCCCGGCCCGACGCCACCTGCTGCCAGGGGAGGAGCTGAGCAGAGGCAGGGGTGCGGGGGTGGTCGGCAGCCCAGCGAGCAGGCTGACGGACAGGCTGACGGACAGTGCGTGGGGTGGGAGAGAAGGCTGAGCCTGCAGGGGCAGGAGAGGAGCACGGCGCCCGGCGAGTGGGAAGGCCGCAGCTGGGCCGAGTCGGGTCGGAGTGGAGCACGTGGCTCCTGCCCTCCCACCGGGCCCATTTTGGCACCTGGTGCTGCTCCCTCCCCCTGAACCTCCAGAACAGATGCCTGGCAGCCTATTCCCAGAGAGTGTGGGCTGGGGCGAGCTGGTGGACAGGGCAGAGAGGGGCGTGTGCGTTTCTGCTCCACAAGGGCAGAGCTGGGGTGCGGGAGGCAGGTGCCCTAACGCGGCTCAGGCCTATGCCCCCAGGGCGATGCTCCGTCTGAGGCGGCAGCACCTGTGCCAAGGCCCTATTCTTGGGGGGCCAGAAATGGGGGACAAGTGTGCAGAGACGGCACTCACGGTCACGCAACAAGTAGGCTTTCCTTGGCCAGGCTGGAAGTGAAGAGGCTGAAAGATGGGGAGTGGGGGGCGTGGGAGCCAAGGCGGGTCCCCCCTCCTCCTCCTGCTGGGAAGGCTGGAACCTTCCACGGAACCCACTGCCCCTGACTGCCACAGTGGGGCGAGTCGCTGGGGCCCCAGGGGCCTGGATCCATGGCCTATCTGCTCTGGGCCGGCACGAGGCTAGGGCAGTGAACTCTCCTCGGACAGCTCATAGTCTGGGCGGGACACGGACACCCCCGCCGTGACACAATAGTTCCTGCAGTGGCCACTGCGGGGCTCAGGTTGGGGGAGACTGCGAGAAAGAACGAGAGGGGATCCAGGATTTCTTGCAGAGGACCTGGGGATACATGATGGTTCCTTTATTCATTTACTTGGCCAAGAAAAAACGGCTGGAGCGCGCATAGTGTCTGAGGGCTGAAGACACAGCAGTTCCCCTGAGGAACTCCATCTAGTGGCGGGAGCTGCAGATGGCGAGAGGGTTCCAGGACAGGGACAGCGGGGCGAGAGCAAGGGAAGGCCTCTCCCCATGGCTGGGGGGTTGCAACTCGCAAGAGACCGCAGGGGCGGGTGTGACAAGCCATCTCTGGGCAGCTGGAAAGTGGGGCAGAGCCCTGCAGCGCCACGGAGGCAGGGCACCCCCTGAGCCCAACTGGTGCTCACTGCAGCCACGGCTGGAGGCCCCGGGGTGACCTTGCCAGGAGAGGAACCCCACCTCTGGCAGGTGGGAAGACTTGTCTCAAGTCCATGAGCACTAGGTCTCCCACACGTCAGTGTGCCACGCACATGAGATGGCACAGGGACACAAGTAACTCTGTAGTGTGCTCATTCCCGGGGGACTGAGGTTTGGCTGGGGACGAAGCCCCCCCCAAGGCGGGAGGAGGGGGAGCGGGAGCGGGTAGGCTCACCTGCGATCTGCTCCTCAGTCAGCTGGTCAGCCTGCAAAAGGAGGAGAAAGTTAGCCGCGTGCTAGCCTGCGCCCTCTGGTGAGGCTGGTGCCACACAGCAGTGCCAGACCTGGGCCGGAGGAGCAGTCAGGCTGGGGCAGGGCCAGGGCCTGGGGGAAGTGTGGTGAGCCAGGACGCCGGGCGCATGGCCGAACGGGAGGCTGGCAGCACGCAGGGTGTGAGCTGCCAGGGCCCAGGGGTTGCCAGGCATAACCCAGGGCTCTGGAGCCACAGCAAGGGGGACACTCGTGGCCCAGCCCCAAACCCCAAACCCCGCTGCCCACACAGCATGGTGCTCACGGCAGGGAGCCCCAGAGGCTGGGTAAAGGGAGCATTTGCCCACTGGCCTCATCAAACAGCAAGAGGGCGCCAAGCTGCAAGAGGCCAGTCCTCGGGTAGGGCACGGGGAAGATGCCCAGTGCCTCTGTGAGTTTGTGTCACCTCTCTGGAGGCGCCAGGTCCAGGCAGGGTGGACCCAGGGACACAGCATCCTAGCTGATGGCTCTGAGCTGTTCAGTGGCCCGGCCAGCACCCCGCCAGCGGGCAGCCGCTCTGCACCCTTCTTTTCTGTCTGGGGCGGAGGGACACTGGTGAATGGCCCACAGAAGAGGCAGGAGGGTGGCGAGGGCCAAGGGACTAAAGTCGGCTTCCTCGGCTGTGCTGCAGTTTTTAACCCTTCCGAGCCCTGGCACTCTGGGGAGTGGCCAGTGGGTGGCAGGCCGCCCTTGCTGCATGCGGGGTTTGGGGGTGGAGTGAGGACAGGCAAGCATTAGCCTGTCCTGCAGGTCTGGGACCAGCCCAGGATTCTCAGGGGCTGGGGGCAGCTGTAGGCAAATCTCAGCTTTAGGCAGCAAAATGATGCTTTTTCCTGGGTTTTTCTGAATGCTGCCAAAAGGCGCCCCTAATAACTGTGGGTGCAGATGACTGCTCCCCTGGGTCCCCTTCTGTTCACAGCAGGGGAAGGGGCTCCACATCTCCAGCAAGGTTCAAGCCCTGGGGGCGGAATGCACCCCAACTGAGGCCAACTCTTGTGTGTCTTTGCATTATGCCAGAGAGGTCCCAGAGCTTCCGTGAGGCCAGCAGCACCTCCCTGCCCTTCCCCACTCCTGTTCCAAATACTGAGCATCAGTCACATCAGAATTGGCCTAAAACGTCCTTTTTTTCATCTAAGGGAAGAACTGGAGGCCAAGTCCCGAGCAGACAGCACAGTGGAGGGAGAACCGAAGCAGCGGTGGCAGAGTGCAAAGGCCCGTACGGAGGCACCGGCCACTGTGCCGTTCTGGAGGGGTCTCAAGTCTACAGGGGAGGCGAGGTGGCCACCTGGAGATGCTTCTGCACCTGGCAGCCCTGGCTCCTATGGGCAAAGCAGCCCGACGGAGCCCCGGGGTGCCGAGTGAGGAAGCTGCTGGGAGTAAGAAGAGGCTGGGCCTTGGCTGCCACCACCTGCCCTCACGCTCCTCTCCTGGTCTGGATGGGGGGCTCCCGGCAGCACACCCTGCCCATCCCTCCACTCGGTGCAGCCCCCACCCTCTGGCAGGAGCCGGCGAGGTAGGCTGCAGAGTGCCCAGGAGCCAGCCACTCCCAGCAGGCAGGCTGAAGGCGCAGCTGAGCGGCACTGCCGCTCCTTATGGGGTTGCTGCAAATAGGCGTGGCTCCGCCTCTCCCTCCTGGTAAGGAGACCCTCTCCCTGGCACCGTGCAGGAAAGGTTACCCAGCTGAGGGCAGGGCAGCGCCTAGGAAACAGATGATCTGAGAGGGAACCCTGGCCAGGGGCTCCTTCTTTGGGCTTCTTCCCTTTCCAGCTCTGGAGATTTTTAAGCCTGCACCAAAAATTGTCTCCCAAATGACCCAGCTGGTCTTGTGCTTCCTGAGCCCTCATTTTAGGCTTCAGCAAGGAGATGGACAAAAACAAAGTCTGGGGGGAGGGGGAGCGGGTATTATTTCTCCGCCTGGCCGCAGCCCCCAGCCAACGCCAGAGAGCAGTGTTAGATGAGATCAGAAACCAAGGCCAGGGCCCCTCACCAGGGCCAAGGAGGAGCCTGGGTGCTCAGGACAAAGTCCGAGGCCAGCTAGCAGGGACCTGTCCCACCCATACCTTGCTGACACAAAGGGAAAGAGAAACTAGTGCTGGGGCCAAAGCCCAGGTCCTGTTGTGGAGGGGCTGAGCATTGGCACTTGCGAGGGCTTCAGGGCCCCTAAGCCAGGCTCCGCCGGGGGACACTGGGAGGGTGGCAGGAGGCGTCAGGTCTGTGTCAGCAGCCTGAGACCTGATACACAGCAGCGGCCGCCTGTTCTCCCCAGCCTTGCCAGGGAGGATGGCTGCGCACGCTTCTGAGCTGAGCCTGGGGGGGCTGTGGGTGTTGTGGGTGGCAGGGAGGAGGAGAGAAGTAGTCTGCTGGTTTTCTCCCAAAGCACCAGCTTTGTGAATTAAAGAAGCCCCCCAAGGGGCTGAAGGACCTATGAAGGGATCTCTCTGGCCGTCCTGCAGGGGCAAGCTCTGCAGCCCCCACCCCCAGGCTACAGGAATTGGCGTGCGATTGTCACCAACGCCACAATGTACTGCACTGTCATTTGGCACAAGTGAGGAGGTGCAGAACTGCCCGCCGGCCGAGACAGGAGGGAGAAGCCATCACTCCTGTGGGGGAAAAGCCGCTCTCTTGCTCTGAAAGGGGCAGTGAAGGGATGCGGTGCTTGACTAAAAAAGCTGGCTCATCCGATGCACCCCAAACTTTGATTTCTCCCACCCCCATTTCATGCGGCTTCAGTGCGCAATAGGGGCCTGAACTCTGCCCACCTGCTCCTCCGCCCAGAGCTTTCTGCCAGCGCTGCTCTTCCAGGGGAGGGGACACCCTCGGCCACTCCCTCCAGCCTCTGCAGCCCACTCCCCATTCACCAAAAACAGTCTTTGTCCCGGCCCCTCCCTGGAGACTTCAGGGAGCCACCCACATCCCCCGCCAACCCAGGACCACCCATTTCCTCCTCCAGCACCCTCCCCACACCCCACCCAAGCCAAAGTCCTCTCCGACAGCCCCACCTTGGAAACCCACCTTCTCAGGGACCCAAACACGACACTCCTCCCCACCTCCCCCCCAACCCCAACCTCTGCTCCCACCGGGAAGCTCAGAACCTTTCCTGGCGGCGGTCCCCGTTTCCCCATCCAACAAGGGCTCCTGGACCGCACCCCTGCCAGCCTCCCTCGCCATTCCCTCGGAACCACCCCCACGACCCCGATCCACTTCAGTCCCCGCAGGCTCCCCAGAGCATCTTCCAAGCGCCGCCGCCACCCACCCCACCGCTTCCTCCCCTAAGCTCGCGCCTCACCCTCCTCCTCCCCTGCAATGCCGCCTTCCGAGAGCCCCCTCCCGATCGTCTAGGGTCTGATGCGCCAGGGGGAGCCCCCTCCCTGCCCCGGCCCGGGAGCACCCCACCCCGCCCGGGCCCAGCTCCCCGCGGGCCTCCCTCCGCTCCCCGCATCCTCTCTCAGGACTTCATCGCGGCCCAAACAGTCCCCGGCCGCGGCCAGTGCTCCTCACCTCGGCCCCCTGGGGTGCAAACACCCCACTTCAGGGACCGACCGCCCCATCCCGAGTCCAAAAGCCCTTTGCGAGGGTCCAGATGCTCCATGCTGGGTTAAACTGCCCCCCTTTGCGGGCTCCGGTGCCCGTCTTGAAGTCCAAACACCCCTTCTGGGGCAAAATGTCGCTTTGGGGAACCGCTACCCCTCCCAGCCTTTGGGGCTCCAAACGTCCCGACCCAGGGTCCAAAGCCACCGAGCCCCGTGCAGCAGGGGTCCAGAGGCTCTCGCCGGGGTCCGATCGTCCCCCGTTCTGGGTCCTCTCGCCCTCTCTGGGGTCCAGCCTCGCCGGCCCGCTCGGAACCCCCAACCTGGGCGGTCCCTCTGCCTCACTCACCATGGCGAGGCCCGGGGTGTCCGGAGCGCGGGGATCAAGGTTCCTCCGGCGGCGGCAGCAGCTGCAGCAGCTCGAGCTCCGCCGCGCGTCCGCGCCTCCACACTC